TAGGTACATCAGTTGCGGCATTACACTCGTTTATTTATGCTATCACATATATGAGATTGGTTTGGCCTTATATTTTCAAAAATTAAAACATTATTTTTTTTCAAAATTAAAACAATACTTTTTTAAAATCAAATTTATGTATATATTAAATTAAATTTAAATTATTTCCAAACAAATTACAACCGACAATCTCCCTATCTATTTGCACTTCCTCTCAGACGATCATAATGTCACTTTTCAAAGTTAAGTGTGATACTTAATAGTTGAATGAAATCATAGCACTCCCGGGTCATTACGTTTTGCAACGGATTTTAATATAAAAAATGACCAGTTTGAAAAGTTAACAAAGATTCAGAGAAAATACCATCACAGTTTTCAAAATAAATTAAATCTTCAAACCATTATAATCCCACACATGATTTTAAATCTCATCATATAATCCCACACATGATTAAATCTCATCATAAGGAGAAAGAGTAAGGAAAATTACTCACTAAGCATGGAGAAATACAACAGAAAACTTCTTTTAAATCAAAGAAAATTCACTAGAAAATTGTTTACAATAATTATAAAATAATGAAAAACACAATACTTGACTTTTTCCCATGAAATAAAGATGAAAATCCCTCAAACAAAGTGTAATGCTGATCCACGCAAAGTTCTTACAATTCCTTTCAGATATCTCTCAAAATCCCTCTCTAATCTGTCCTTACAAAAAAAAAACACACACACACACACATACACACGCCACACCTAAAAATCATGCTAAAAGCCTCCTCTTCTCCTCCTTTTCGTTCAGCAATTGGACCTTTTAATAAACCTTTGAAAATAACAAAGGGTTGCTTGAAGGACCCCTTCAAAATTCGTTCACATTCAATGCATCTTCTAGATTTTTTGTTACTGGCACTATAGCGCTGCCTTCTAGTTGTGCTTAGCACTATAACGTAAGGGCTGGCGCTATGGTACCATATATCTTTTTTCCATTTTGCTCCATTTTGCCCATATTTTCTCTAAATATTTATTCCTTGTACCTAGAACAAAAAAACATGTAAAATACATTTCTTTAAAGTGCAATATCATCAAAATATGCATGAAATGAGCATTAAATATATATTAAGAACATGTAATTTTTAGGTGTGTCATTAGGTACTGTAATGTTTTATACTATCAAGTTTAGGGGAGGGAGAAAAAATTTTTAATGTAAAACATTATTTGTCCTTAATAAACTTTATATTTTTAAAATTGATGTTAACATAACCTTTGGTATGTGGTGTAAGCTTTAGATAACTATATTTTTTATTTTATAAAAGTTATAGTAGACTTAAGTAAAAGTTTTTGGTAATAAAGGGTGATTCTAAAGTTAAGATATTTAGTGTAAGAATATAAGAATATGCTGTAATAAAGGGTAATTCTAAAGTTAAGATATTTAGTGTAAAAATATAAGAATATGCCTTTACTATTCAGAGTAGGAGGAGGTGTATTTTTGAAACACTGGGAATCTTAGATATACGCTTCAAAAAGAAATGAGACTATGATAAATCATTTTCAATGCTAATACTCATTATCAAATAAAGAATTATAAGAAGTTTTTAAATTTAGGAAAATGATAGTGAAGTTCAAAATCATTAGAGGCTATCCAGATATAGTAAACCTCACATAAAAAAGAAAAGAAAAGAAATGATTTAAAATGATCCTGAAAGAAAAAGAAAAGACAAATCAAAAGAAAAAAAACAAAAAGAAATAGAAAAGAAGAAATATGAGGGGAGAAGCTTGAAGAGATGTCTAATTAAAAATTTGTTTCACTTGAATTAGCTTAAAGGATAAAACTTATTTATATTTCTGAGCTTATTCTTAATTTTAAAAGTATTAGTATCTTCACTACTAGGTTCTCCTATTATTCTTTTCTTTTAATTCTTTTATTCTTCTAAGATTCCTAAGTTTGAAAAATTACAATTATTTTTGAAATAAATAGTAATTTAGAATTCCTAACTTGATTACTAGATATCCTTACGTTTTAGTTCCATCCTGAGTTATTGAAATTTTTTTCTAAAAGTTTCAGTATCACTTTTATGGGGCAAAACTAAAAAATTCTTTAAGTGAAACTCACTACCATGAGTTATTATATTTGGTTTATATACTACAAGGGTTTAAGTTTGGGGGAATTAACACGCCCTCAAAATACTTATTTTATATGTGTATTTCATGCTCATTTTTAGGGATATTGCACTTTAATGAAAATTATTTTGTGCGTTTTTGATTTTATGTATAAGAAAAGGAGTTTAATAGTAAAAGGAGTAAGAATGAAGCAAAAATAAGTCAAATGGAGCTCAAGAACAAAAATTGAAATGACTTATAGGCACCAAGATGTTCTAGAAGTCCAGCGCTTAGGTGCTACGATTGGGCGCCAAGGCGCCAGAAATGGTTTGTTTTTTATTCATTGAATTTGAACGAATTTCAATAAAGTGTCTGAATTGACCCTTGGTAATTTTCAGAGCTTTATCAAGAGAAAATATTTCCACACGAAATATGAGTCTTTTTTAGGTAGGTTAGACCACAATTGGAGTGGGCCGCCGCCATAGTTAGAGTGTGGTGAGTCTTTTGTGAGTGTGAGTGTTTTTTGAGTCTTTTGTGAGTCTTGTGGAGTCAAGATTAGTCAAGGAACTTGAGAGGATTGCTTGGGGAAAAGTTTGAGATAAATATTTGTATGTTTGTTTAAGTTTTATTTTATAAACTTGGTTTTTAATATATATCATGTTTTCTCTTATATGAATTTTGAGTAAGTTTCTAATCCTTCTCCATGAAATAAGAAGTAATCACGTGTGGAGTTAGAATGTTTTGAAGATTTCTTTAATTCTAAAAATTTGTGATGGTATTTTCATCAGTTTTTAATTTACTTTGCAAACTGGTCATTTGTGATGTTAAAATCTGCTGTAAAATATAATGACCCTGGAGGGCTTTGATTTTACCCAATTAGTGAGTACCACACTAAACCTTGAATGGAGAGGAGCCAAGTCCAAGGGGGAGCACAAATAAATAGAGAGATAACTTTTGATAGGCGTATAATTGCTGATTCTAGAGTGATGGACTAGAATCTTATCAATTTGGTCTTTAGTTCAAAACCTAAAGCCTGGTTGGTCCTAATAGAGAGGACACGGTGTGTAATCTAGAAGTGAGGGCTAGAATCTACTCAACATAACCATATCAATCAAGAACTTAACATTAGTTTAGTTAATGTTCTTTATGCACTCGGAAGAGGTCAAGAATATGTATGCTCTTATTTGTTACAAAACCTCATTATTATCTTTAAGCATTTCATTGCTACACTGATTATAATCTCTTTGCAAGGAAAAAGTCTTTTTTTTATAATTACTCTCCTTTATGCATCTGTAGTTTAGTAAATTTGCATTTACTTTTAACTTTAATTTAAAATTAGCAAACTTTAGTTTATACCATTTTACAAACAGTTCGATATTATTCTTCTACAAATTTTGTTTACAGTTTGAGTAGACATATTTCTAAATTAACATGGAAATTTACTTATTCCCTGTGGATTAGGTAATGAGGTTTTTAAAAAAAACTCTATATTAATTAAAACGATAAATATACTTGTGCAGTACCCCTAGTGTTTAAGTCATTAATCACCCTTAGTGTGTAAGTCATTAATCAATTTTATAACATATTTATTTTGCATGCTACCAGCTGAATATAATTTGGCTCAAGTTTTTTGTCATATTTCAAAACTTAAATAATTGCATAATTGCAGGTCGGGTCAGCCTACAGTCCCGACCACCCAAACTCCAAATAAGGGTGTTTGATCGCAACCAGTTGACCCACCGACTTTTGCTTCGACAGGCGCAATCGTCATTCGATCGGTCACCTTTATCTGCCGAACCCAAGCGAGTCAACTGTTTGTTTACCGCCATATTCAAATTCAAATTGTAATACATATTTGGTATAAGATCAACACATTTAATCATATCAAGGGTTGTTTTAATAGCTGCTCACTCCTTTTTGTAATTATATAAATACGTCTCTATAACTAAGAGATAAAAAATAAATAAAATACTTATTTCCCCATGTATTTGAAAAAAATTGCCTAATTACTCTATCTCTCTCGTTCTCTTCCCTCTTCTTCTGGCTCCAACGAGGCGTGTTTGTAAAAAACAAATAAGGATTCAACACAATTAATAAGAAGATAATTTATAAATGAAATAAACATCAGCAATTTACTTTATTTTACAATATGCAAATCATATCGATATCGATTTTGATATATTTAACAAAATAATGATACATACATTTTAGTTGCATCTCGTTGTTTTTCTATATGCCAACTTATTCCAACTAATTATCATTCTATGATTGGCCATGTTGTCATATATAATCCAACCACTTAAGAATTTGAAATCCCCAATCACTCGCGGTTACCGCAATACAATTTAGTTAAAAAGTGGCCGCTTCGACCAACCATGGTTGGTTCAAAGTCGCACCTCAATGTCAGGGCACTACACCAAACGCGCAGCAAAGCAACTACCGCCACCTCACAGAAATTATAACTGCGAATGCTTCTTGGTACAAAGGAAAACTAGCGGGTGCAAAACATGGTGCACATAATGAAACGTGCTCGTTATGATATTTTAATTTATTTAACAATTAATTTTCTAATGGGAGAACCTATTTAATGTTGGAAGAGTACATAAATATAACACAATTCTTGTATATTTATATGTCTAAATTTAAATTTTAGATTTTACATAGAGATTACATTATTAATTTGTGAAAAAAAAAGTATATTTTATTTTGAGAATTTAAAATTATTGGTGATGCTGATGTTGCAATATAAAAATTTTTAGGGGTATAATTGTAAAAAGTAGCTAGATATATAAATATATTGATATCAAGCCTTTGTAAATATATTTTCATTGGCCGGTGAGTTCGACCGTCCGGCACGGGTAGGCCCCATGCTTCTGCAGGCCAAACCGGTCCACTTGCGGGTCCCATCAAGGCCGGATTCGAAAGTAGCGGAAACTTCTGCTTCTCATCTGCCTTCACCGCTCCCCACCTTCAAAGCATGAGGATCCCGCGACTCCCGTACGATGCTCTTCCTCCTGTGCTTACTCAATCCTTACATGGGTTTCTTCTCTGGTTTGCCTCCACCTCCTCCGCTTCCCTAATGATCAGCCCCCTCTCATGGAGGAGCCGCAGGTGCACGCTGTGCTCAACTTCCTCACCCGCAACGGCTTCTCCAACGTCGCCTCCCTCCTCCGCGACGACGCCATCTCCCGAGGCCTCCATCTAACCTCCAATGAAGACTCTATACCTCCGCTTCCGCCATTAAGAACCACCCCCGTGGTCGTCGGAGCCCCTAGATCGACCTCCTCGTCTTCCTCCGGCGATTTCGTTAGCATAGGCGCATCGCCATCCGGTACGGTTCGATTATTCGTTAGATTTATCTTAAGCCATTGTGAAACCACTGACTAACTCTGTTTAACAACTAGAGTTGCGGAATCCGTACGGAATTTGGTCATCTGGATCATCGGCGAGGAACTCGGAATTTTGGACTGCGCGCGAGTGTAATGAACCATCTTTATTTGGGGACGCCGGTTGGTACGGCGATGAGTTGGGGGGATACTTCAACGATCCGTACTTGTTTCCGGCGAACCAGAGTGATGACAAGTTTGTGATGTCGATTGCGGGGGAGGAGAGCTTTCTGAAGCAGGAGGGCAATAGTTTTGATTATGGAGTGAAGACGGAAAGTTGTGTGGATTTGGGTTCTGGCGTTCTTTATGGATGTTCGTTTCCGCTCTGTGATTGCTGTAAAGGTAATGGCGGGGAAAGAGCTAGCAGTTTGAATCCGAGTTCTTCAATTTATGGAAGGTATCATATAATGGACGATAAAACGGAAAGGTTGGATGAGTGGGAGGCGGATGGGGCTCGGTTGAAGTTGGTTGACGATTGCACTGAGGTCATTCCATGGAGAGGTGAGTCGGGTGACTTTGATCAAAGAAGAGAGGATAAGGTTTTGGAACCCTTATCTGGGGAGAAGAGCATTCAGAAGCCTAGTGTAGATGAAATGAATAACTTTGTTTTAACAGGTGAGTTCTGAGTTCTTCTGTTTGGTTAATTTGCTGTCAAGTAGAAAGTTTTGACACCCACATGGCCATATTTGTTTTCCCGATTAGCTTTGAATTTGTTTTCTTCTTTTCACTTCATTTTTTTTTCGATCTGATGGAGTTTCCTAATAGTCGATAATTATTTACATGTTAACTCATGCTTGATCTTGAGTTGGATTAGAAAAAAATTGATAACTGTGAAAGGATTCATGACCTACTATTTAGAGGAGAATGTTGCCTTTTAAGCTCATAAATTCAAGCAACATATTTTATCGTTTTATTGTTCACTGTTAAAAAATAAGAAGTCATGCAAGGCAATAGTAGTGTAGCTTATTTTGTCTGGCATTTTTTTCGATTCCATTAACCATCCCACCTTATAAAAGTGAATGGATCAGCTTTGAGGAAAAAAAAATTAAGATTCTGTACATTTAGGAAATGTTGATGTAGATTTGACTATCAAAATGCACTTAAGATTCAGGGTTGTGTTTGGGAGGGTTTTTTAGCAGTTTTTTGTTTTGAATGCACAATGGGTATATTTGGGAGCTCGTTTTTTCATAAAATCTCATTCACATGCCCAAAGTTTTCGAACGGTGGGGTGGGGCTCGGTTACATGGAATGCTATGCGACGTTGTGGGGAAAATACGTCGCTGCCCTTCATCTTTTTGGCATATGCCCTATTTTATCTGCGATATCATCCAAGTGGTTTTGGCTTCGTATTCGCAACAAGCATCTCGGGTTAGGGCATACCATTGAGAGTTATTTTCTTGTCGGTCGTTATGCCTTCAAATCACATCTATGTATTTCATTGTTTCTCTTTGGTTTTAGTCACACAAAGAACCTTTCATGTTATTGTTCTCGTTTTTTCTTCACTATTGTCGGATTTACGGATTTTGACATTCTCTATATTGGCGAGTTTGATTGTTGGGTTTAGGTTGTGCATTCAATGCTATTTGAGTTCTGCATTCCGTGCGATAACTTTTGAATTTATGGATGGTTAAATTATTTTCAATTTTTGGGCTTTGATGTGGTTGGGCTTACTCTAGTTAGGGCTTTATTAGTTGCGGTTGGGTTTGCTCTGGTTGAGATTTTGTTGGATGTGATTGATCTTGCTGTTGTTGAGTTTTTGTTGGCTGTGGTTAGGGTTACTCTGGTTGATTCAGCTGGATGTGTTTGGAGTTGCTCTGCTTGGTTCGGTTGATTGTGTTTGAGGTTGCTCTGGTTGGGATTTTGTAGACTGTGGTTAGACTTGCTTAGGTTGGATTTTTATTGATTGTGGTTGGAGTTGCTCTGGTTGGGGTTCACTTGACTATTGTTGGGGGTTGCTCTTGTTAGGTTTTTGTTAACTGTGAATTTTGTCGGTTGTGCTTGGTGCTGCTCTGATTGGGGTTCGGTTGGCTGTGGTCCGGGTTTTCTTGGTTGGGATTTTGTTAGTTTTGTTTGATGTTGCTCTGGTTGGGGTTTGACAAGTTGTGGTTGTGGCTGTTTTGGTTTGGGTTTGGTCAGCTGTTGTTGGATTTGTTTTTGTATTAGTCGTGTTATATTTCCAGACTGACTTACAATGACTTTGGGATTATATAGTATGCAATCCATGTTATGTGAGTAGTATACATGATTTGTAATTTATTTTGGATTACTTTCTTGTGTTTGTACTGGATTTGGGTGTTGATGTTGTCCTTATAGGGTTTGTCAAATGTAAACTATGCTATGGGAGTGTAATTCTTATGTATTCACACATCAATAACCTAGATTATAAATTTTACATATAAAGAATTTTACTTATGCATTTAAATGTGTATTTCACATTTTAAAGTTAAAATGATGATCTTTTTTTATGTGATATGAGAAGTCGTAGGTCATATAAATGCTAAAGATTATTCTTGTCTATGTGGTTTGCGGACTTCTCTGCAATTGTAATTATATATTGTTGTATTTGCTATAAAAATATCAATATGCGTACTATATGTAATGTAGGTTTCGATGACGTTGGTTTTCGTAATGCTATGTAGATCAATGATTGAAAAAAAAAGTACAAAGAGCTCAACTGATCACCAAATATGATTCATACTATATTGCACTGCCACACACATGAGGACACAGACATAAACATGGGGACACGGATACCGGACACGTCAATTATTGAAAATATAGGACATACATGTGTCAGACACATAATTATAATAAAAATTATTAAAAATATATGTATATATTAAATAAATATAAGAGAAGAGTTAATAACATCTTTTAAAATTAAGCTATACAAAGGTATATCTTTAGTTTATTACATACAAAATGCAATCATAATAACATATATTATCTTGTATTACATAAAAATTTAACTCCGTTATTTCATCAAAAGAAATAAAAAGATGACCGACTCGTTTGACATGTACCTCTGTTACACGGGGGATAAATCTTAAAAGCTGAAACATAACCTTATAAGTAATAATTAATAAATTAATAATGCATCTCGAGAATTGTGAGACTGAGTGGTTTTTACTATAAAAATTTGGGTGTTTACATACACATCACTGAATTTTTATGTATTTGCATATCTTACACCTGAAATTTGATTTTGATATTCATGCCAACCAAATATTTCATCACATCAAATCATATGTAAGGTGGCATATATGAAAAAATTAAAATTTTGGTATTAGATACGTAAATACATAATAATTAAGTGGTATGTATGCAAATCATTCCTAAATTTTTTCATTTTTTTTAATTTTAATCATAAGAATATTTTCAATTTTTTTTTCTTATTCACTAATTCAGGACGGGCTTATTTGGAGAGTAGATGTTTTAGATTCGACTTATGTTAAGAAAGGCATAGGTAGAACTAGGAAGACTTGGGCTTATTGTATAAAAAAATAATCTTAATTTATTACATCTAAATGAAAATTTGACAATAAATAGGATACAATGGAGAAAAATGATTCATGTAGACCCCACGTAGTGGGATTAAGGTTTTGTTGTTGTTGTTGTTGTATTCACTAATTCAGGACATGCATGTCGGAATTTAGGACGCCCGTGTCCGACATGCGTGTCCCCTCTCTTTTAATATTAATTAATTCTGGCATTTTTGTGTCTTGTCTGATATGTGTCTTGGCCGTGTCAGAGATGTGTTTGTGTCCTCTACGTGTTCGACACTATGTGACTCCTTAATTTGGAGTGTCCCTGCAACATATGATTTATATAATTATCCTCACTTTTAGCAATCACAATTGATCATAAATATTATCTAGTATTAAAGCTGCATGACACAGTCAACCGTAGAAATTATCTGGTCTTAAAACATATATGATAATTAATTACAGATACTATCTGGTTTTAAAAGCTTGCATGATACAGTCAATCATAAACACTATTTGATCTTAAAGGACACATGATGTTGTTAATTATAGATACTACGTGGTCTTAAAGCCTGTATGACAGCTACCACAAACACTACAACACTAGTTGGTTTTACATAACACAGTTAACTGCATACACTATTTGGTCTTAAAATACACATGACAAATTTAATCATACATAATACTTGGTCTTAAAGTCTGCACGACACTATTAATCACATATACTACCTGGTTTTAAAACCTTTATGGCATAGTCAACCACACAATTTATATGATTTTCGAATGCACTTAGTGATATTTGTTGGAATAATCTTTGATAAACTAATCTCACTGAGTTTTATTTCGTTATATTATTTTTTAAAACCTTGTTTCAATTTTTTAAATTAATTTTTAGTTATAAACCAAATTTTATAATTTTTTCCAATTTTTTTATTTTGAAGATGCATTAGATGGGAAAACAAAAGGAATGTGGTATATCAACGAGTTGGGAGAGAGATATGAAAATTACTTTTTTTAATTTATGCTTGGAAGAGATTGAAATTAGCAGTAGACCAGCCATGCATTTCAATAAAGAAGGCACACCATAAAGGAATTTTTTCATGAAAAATTAGGAAAAATTTATGATAAAACTCAGTTAAAGAGAGACTACTAAATTAGGTGGAGTCATTATTAAGAAAATAGTAAATGCATTAGAGGAGTGGTGAAGAGAAAAATTTTAGTAATTATAAAATGTTATATGAATTCCTTATATTCACATATTAACTGAATTATGATTTTATCAATTATAGGTCTTGCCCAATGAAAAAAAAAATAATATTTCTGGCATATACCCTGAGTTGAAGGTGAAACTTGATTCTGTGGTTCTTAGTGTTGTGGCTACAAGCTTTACAGGACTTTACCCAAAACTTGAATGAGTCTGAATGTGCTCATTCAAGTAAAGAACAAGAGGAAATACCGCTTTGACTTAAGGAAAATTTTACAAGATGGTGGTGCGACCTACAATGCTTTATTATGGCTGCTTTATGGCGCAGAATGTTGGCCTTTAAAAGAGGAGCATAAAACAAAGTTAAGTGTTGCTGAGATGAGAATGCTTAGGTGGATGAGTGGCTTGACACTTAGAGACAAAATGCAAATAAATCTATCCGTGAAAGGGTTGGTATGACTCCAGTTGCAGAGAAGATTAGAGAGAGCCATCTTAGATGGTTTGATCACATTAAACGTCGACTATCTGATGATTCAGGTAGGAGAGTAGATGTTTTAGATTTAACTTATGTTAAGAAAGATAGAGGTAAACCTAAAAAGGCCGGGGCATATTGCATAAAATATGATCTTAATATATTAGAATTAAATGAAAATATGACACTCAATCGGACACAATATAGAAAAAAGATTCATGTAGCCGACCCCACTTAGTGAGATAAAGGTTTATTGTTGTTTTGTTGTTGTTGATATTTGTCCCTTATTCTTAGCCATACAATTCTACTTGTAGAACTAGAGTTATGATGAGTCCATCAGCAATGCTCCATTTCATCGAGCTTCTCATAGCCTTTTAATTGGTTAAAACCTTACCATGTCAACATAATTACATTCTCCTGTCATGTTGTATCTTTTCATCGAACTGAATTATGTTTTCCCCTCTTGTTAAGTTCATATTTGATACCTTTAGCCCATTGATAATGAATTGGGACTAAATTGATGGGCTGCTCTGATGTATTTTGCTATTGATGTTAAGGTTGAAAAGGGGTGACCTAATCTTGGTCATCATTGTTTCCCCTACCATGGGTTGCCTTACACAAATCAGCATAGGGTACATAGCTAAGACTACAAAAAAAAAACCGCATCGTCTCATAAACAACCTTTAGGAAACCCAAACTTGTTTGGCTAGATTTTTGCCTCTGGTTCCTTTTTCTTATCCATTTTCAACTCTTAACTTGGAACCTCCTCGTTATAGCTAGGCTATCTACAATCTAAAACGCTCAATAGTCCAAAGTCCCGTTCAAAACATGATTCAAAACATGCCATAGAGATGATGCAACTCAAGAGTGTGAATTTGAAGATTAAGAGACTGTAATCTTTCCCTTTCGAAGAGCTAAATATCCCCCATCCTCACATAGTGGAGATAGGCCACAATATTGAAACCCATAAAACTCTCTCTGTTGTCTTGTTTTCTACTCTCTTGGGTTTCCTTTTTTCCTTAGTAGTTAGATACCTTTCTCCATCAGGAAGTAAGGCAACCCGAATACATAGCCTTTACTTCTCTTTCTCTAGCCAAGCCCACTTCTACACTTTTCTAGTGAACCGGACAGAACTTGAACTCTATCTTTTTTATCGTTTTCTTCTACCACTTTCTGACATTACTCTTTTCTTCCTTCACTCTTTTGAGCTGCTAATCATAGATCTTGATGTGTCTTTCATTCTTAGGTGCTTTGAATCCTTTGTTGATTTCTTTTGACAGAATATTCTATTCCTGTTTCGACTTCATGAACTCTCTGAACTATGTCATGTCATCATCATAACACTCATATTTTATCAATCCCGTGCTTAATAAGCTTCTTCATTTCTCATGCCAAGTTTTTGTCAATTGTCTCCTGCTCATTGTTTTTAATAGGAATGGTTGATTGCACTTTGTATATTAACTGTAGACAAGCTATAGAGAAAGCAGTAGGGTATGGTCTTCAAGGAATATAACGAAAAACACCAGAGGAGGAACTGTTGCGAGAAAAAGCATCGGAGGAGGGTTTGCTGCAAGAAAATGTTCCAGAGAGTCTGTTGCAGGAAAAAAAACTACAGAGGGTATGCTGCGGAGAAAAGCTAAAATGGAAGGCTGCTGAAAAAAATTTGGAAAAGGTTTTGTAGCAGAAAAAAGCTCTGAAGGAGGGTTTGCTATAGAAAAAGTTCTTGAGGAAGACCTACGAATCGGTTGAAAGGTTCCGGCGGAGGAGGGCCTGCAGCAGAAGGATTTGGTTTCTATATAATTCTAACTTTATGCGTGCATTGGGCTTATGCCCAAGCACGAAATGTGAAGGAATTCTGGAAGCAACTTGCTGGGATGCCCTTGCTGCCATTTTCTTGAAGTCCGGCAACACGTAGGTAACTGCAAGCAGAAAGAAACGTTTCCACAGCTGTCCTTACTGCAGGAGTTATGGGAACTGCAGTCGGGCCTGCAGTTACACCCTGTAGGGGAAAAAGAAACTCCACGAAGGAAGACAATAGGAAGATGTGTCTCCACTAAGGAAGACTGCAAGAAGGACCACATTACAGTGCTGCGGGGATGAAGTCTCTTGCTGATATGTTGGTGACCTGCAAAGAGGAAGGTCTCACGAGACACAAGCTCGCAGGGAAACGACGGGAGAGGAGCTGCTGGAATCATGTTTTGGAAATTTTCTCTCGCAGCTGAGCTCTACAGAGGTACTAGCAGGAGATGAAACGGAAACTAGAGATACTTGTAGGAGGGAGAAGCTCTGATAAAGGGCTCACAGTAGGAAGATGTGGGCCTGCATCAAGGGATTCTCGCTGCAGGGAGGACTCTGGAGAGGGCCTTGGAATTACATGAAGAGTGTTGGCTGCAGGAGAGTGGAGATCTGGCCAGCAGAAAAAGATCCAGCTAGCAGGGTTGACTGCAGGAAGATCCAGCAGGAAGGAGACCCTGCAGCAGGTATTGAAGAGGCCAGCAAAAGGGTCTGGCTCCAAGAGGGATCTGGCTGAAATTTTAGAAGAAGGATTCGATTGGTAGTATAGGGATTTGGTTAGCATAAATGAGAAGTATGCCACCAGAACTTTCATGTTTATCCACATTTCCTCTCTCAGTTTGGCTAGTAGATTGCATGCAATGAGGAAGATGTAGTAATTGGCTGGATATGGATGCATGAATCCCCAACACGTCTTCTCACTTTCTCACGGACCGAAGAAGGGTCAAACTGAGGAAACACCTAAAGGCAGTTGGGAATAACATGTTTCCCTACTTAATCTTTTCCACATGAACAAAACCAAGAGGAAGGCATAAGCAACGGGCAAGAACTGCAACTTATGATGTTTCAAAATGTTGAAGAAGCTGGTCAATATACTGGTCTTCTGCAACCCCGCTAGATGCATTCAGCTTAAACAGATTCCTTAGCCTCTCATCTACACAACATCCAATGATAATCTGAAGATCTAACGCTTGAAGCCATTGCAAAATCCGATTCTCCACCTCTGAGGAAGGTTCAGAAATTCAACAGTTAGAGGTCCAATGTTCAGAATTTCTGCAGTAGGAGAACTTCGGTAGCTAGGGTATGATCTAAGGCTCTGAAACTACAGTCAAAGTCTCAAGTGCTAACTCCAGCAGCTAGAGAACTGCAAGTAGAGGAGTTTTGGCGGACAGAGAAATGTAGGGGAAGGATTTCCACGGGCTAGGATCCTGTAGGGATAGAGTTTGGTTGCTAGTTTCTACAGGGAGGAATTTCGGCGGCCAGGTCCTTCCCAAAAAAATTGGTGATTGCAGTGGTTAAGGAAGTTTCCGGCGGCAAGAGATCTGCTTCTCCTCTACTGGAGGCTCTGGGTTTTTTTTTCGAGGCTCTTACCATGTACTTTTTTGAGAATTGAGCCGGATATTTTTATTGATAGGGAGGGGGGTATAAATACATTTTAAATGAACTCTAAAATAGGAATAACATTGCACCCATGTCTCTAGGATTACAATTAATCAATTCCTAATAACTACCTGGAGATGAAGGAAAAACATAAAATAGTAAATACATAAAATAAGAAATAACTGGAATGAAAATAAATCAATATCAATAACTTCTAACAATATCTTTAATTCAAATGAGGTTAACTCTATGGGACCTATGGGCTATCAATTTGCAGCCAATTATTTGCTTATAAATATGCATACTATGAATATGGTGATTATCAGTCAATATGGATTCCAATTTTCCGTATCAATAGCTTTTGTTTACTGTTCTTTCTTTTTTTATTGTTGAACTGTATATTGATGTGGTTACTCACATGTTCTATTTTTTTATTAACATATAGTATTTAATGTTGATTCTTTGTTTAACTTACTGCATTGGCACAATTTTATATAAGAAAATCCTATCACAATAGGTGGAACAGTATCTTCAAATTAACTCAATGAAGATGAAACATAGGGGGTGAACTTCATTGAAACAGAAAAGAGCAAAAGAATGGTGGAATTATGTTAAAACCGATTGATTTGCACCCATCTAGTTACATTCCCTCCTGTTTTTTTTGCAAATATTACTCTCTTTGTGCCCATCGACCATCTTAAATCGCATTCTTTTTTCTTGCTAACTTTAGCCACCACAAAATTGGTGCTTCCCTTCAGGTTGCCGCCCAGACGCCCAGAAGTTGTTGGTTCCACTTCTGATTATTATTAGGGTCGAATATGCATGGAGACGACTTGGCAACATTGTGCCCTTCTCACTAGCTATCGTTGTGATTGTCTATAACAGTGGATGACACCTGGCATTGTCATTAATATTAACTTGAAACTGCTTATCTAGGTTTTGAGTTAGTTTAGCAATTGCTTGTCAGCCTAGCAGCAGCGTTCATGCATGAAAATATATTATTTTTAGATTGTGTACCAAAATGAATGCTAGTGTTTTGCTAACCTATTCTATATTCTGTTATTTAATTCTGCTTTTGTTCAACTTTTCTAAGGACCTTTATGCTTATTGATAAATATTGTTGTTTCTTATTCTGAATACTTGTTCCTTCGTTTTTGTTGCCACAATAAAATTTTTTGTAATTGTAATTGGATTATAATGTGAAAATTAACTGGAAAATATTACTGACTATGTTGGAAGGCATTATAAAATGGCTAATTATTTTACTTATGGTGTTAAAAAATGGGAAGGAAAATCATTTTGCGCCTATTTGGTCTGTGGTCATTCTAGTTGTTGTTTTTGTTGATTTGTATTTTAAGAACTTTTAGAATGTCAAATCTCCAATTCTAGTTGTTGTCCTTCCTTGCTACTTGTGCTGAATTAAATGCTTGTTAATGCAGATTGTCATGTACTTTTGCAAAATAAATGTGCAAGTTCAGACCACTTCTCTGAGCAAGGATTTTCAAAAAACAACAATGGCGAAGTTTTAGGAAAAACAGATTTTGCTGAAAAGCCTTTTTGTTGGAAGCCCTCTGAACTACATGCTAATGATGGCTTTGACTGGGCAAATATTGATGGAGATCTCAAGGAATCTGAATCTCTAGCCGCTGGAGGTGTGAATGATGACATTCCCGATGATCTTCAACTCCTTACTGCTAATGAGGATGAATTTGAAACATTTGATTTGCGAATTATACATCGCAAAAACAGGTTAAGAACCTAAAATCTCTTTTTATAATATGTTTTTAAAATGTGTTTAAATGTGTTATGCATTTACTGCAGAACTGGCTTTGAAGAAAATAAAGATTTCCAGATTGTGTTAAACTCAGTTGTAGCTGGTAGATATTATCTTACCGAGTATCTGGGTTCTGCTGCATTCAGCAAGGTTGTTCAGGCACATGATCTTTACACAGGAGCTGATGTGTGCCTTAAAATCATAAAGAATGACAAGGATTTTTTTGATCAGAGCTTGGATGAAATCAAGCTTCTCAAGTATGTTAATAAAAATGATCCTGCTGATCAGCGTCATTTGTTACGTCTATATGATTACTTTTACTATAAGGTATGCAATTGTTCAAAGCGAGGAGTTTGCCATATTCTTGTAATGATTTCTCTCATTTCGTCTTCATTGCATTCTCCAAGTGCTAGAGAGTGTAGGAGGGTTAAGATGTATAGTTGCATCTGTTTTATTACGTTTTATTTTGCTGATCATTTTACTTGTAACTTTGGGTCTTTGTAGTTCTTTTAGTTGGTTGTTTCCTTGAACATAACCAGGTGTTTGAAATAGAGAAGTGTTTTAGAATCTAAAAGGTAAGTTTTATAGAAGTTGGCCAACTTTGTTGTATTGATTTGAATGCTTAGCAATAATGAAATAATTGATAAATAAGTGATAAAAATTAAAGTAATTAAACATGACAAAACTAAGGGTCTGTTTGGGGGCAGTTGTAGCTTATTGAATAATCTGCTGATAAGCTGATTAAAAATAATGTGCTGATAAGCTAGGTGCGGTGGCTATTACAAATTTTTATTTTTTTTGGAAAAGTCAGACTGTTGCCAATAAGCTGTCACCGTACCTAGATAGGTGCTGTGTGAAAATGTTGTATTCTGCATTTTGAAAACGCATAAGCTGACAAAACACAGTTTACCCAAACAAGCCAGATGCATTTTCAAAACGTCACAACACCAAATAAGCTGCCCCAATCGGGCCCTAAGTTTTGGTTGGAAAGGATTATACTAGAGGGATGTTAGGAGTAGTACCTATTGAAGGCAAGGTAGTGAAAGTAGATTTAGGTGGCTAGGCCATTATCAATTTAAGGTAGATGATGCATAGATAAAATATGCATATAAAATTAATGTTGAAGGGTAAAGAAGAGAAACCGGTGGAATGAAGGTAATTTGGATTAAAATTGTGAAATGATATTTAAATAAACTAGGGATAGTAATTTATGAAACACTTAATAAAGATGAATGGATAAGACATTTCATAAAATTGAACCCAATTTTTTTTTTTTTGGAAATATTGCATGTTGTATTAAACTAAAGAAAAAGTATAAAAAGTATGTAATCAAGCATTTATAAAATGAGCCCTATCATCTCACATAAATGCAGAAAGAAGTTAACTATGATGTAACTGTTTCAAAATAACATTATCCCATAAACCTAACTGTGCACAATGTTGGGCTGCTCCATTGCTATTTGTGTCCGTGACATAAAAAAGAACCAGCCTGAATTGTGACCAAAAAAGGAAATCAGGACCTTAGAGGGATCTAGCCTTGCAAGAATTCTGTTTCATAGCACTCCTTAAGAAGTTGATGACATTATAGTTATTACCTTCAATAGATACCTTTGGTTTTAAGCATCCTGTGTGCTCCAAAAATTTCGACCGCCTCAGACTATCTGTCTTTGTTTGTTGTGTTGATAGAGCTTTAAGAGTCAAAATTTTCAGAAGACAGATTGAATTGTAGATAAGACATTACCCAGAGATTTCATTCTCATTTTGTGAGGCCTTTTTTATCTGGGGTTCAATGTTTGTCATAGGCGCAAGCCCCTATGGTTAATTACCTCTCTTGATAGAGAGAACTTCGATTAATGCTAGTCATTTAACACTAAATAATCGACATATAGTACAACAAACATATATTTTAAACAGTAAAATTCATTATTTGGAGCTTAAAACGGATGATGAGAGAAATGATGAGTCCGATCAATCTCATGGTTTCATCGTCACAAGTTATTGTAATATCTAATCTACTTATTCAGAGAAGGTAGTGATCCAACCTGACTGAAAGACCCTTGTTAGCAACCATGAATTGTGTCTCCTAAGAGAACCTTATAGATCTGGAGCAAATTTTTGTCTAAAGAGATAAATTTAAATCGACTTAAGCTAACATATGACTTTATGTCAATCAGATGTACCCTTATGATTCACAAATCAAAGTGTGTAAAGTTGTTGGGGGAACATACGAGTTGTGACTATAATCATAATATGACAACCACCCAGTGGAAAGGCTCTAATCGTGTAGCCTTTGGGCCAAACCATGCCGACAGAGAACTTGGGCCATGTCTTTACTAGCGTGAAATTACTTTTAGTGTGAATATAATGGTATACTTGATGTGAGTGTAGCTCTTTTAAGAGCTGAAGTCAATCAAATGTTTATCACCCTTGAAAAATTGTTGTTGAAGGTGGATGTGATTTGCTTAAATTTTTAGGTAATTAATTTTATTTGAATGTTTAATTTGTTATTTTAAGAATTTTTTTTAAAATTGGCCTATCCAATTGAGATTTATAATCAACATGGCTATGATCGGGGATTTGTTATTTAAAACTTTAATGTTTAAGATTTATTTAAAATTTGTCAATTTTGATATCTTTAGCATATTAGTCCAGTTAACTCTAATAAGGAGGATTTGATCAAATGATTTGGATTTGTAAATTTTATATATGTTATTTGGATATTATTGGAACTTGCTAGTCGGTTAACTCCAGTTTTTAAGAGGAGGATTGAACTAGGCAGGTGGACTTACAACCTTGCGCTCTAGACAGGAAAGCCAGCTCTAGACAGTGAGGCCCGAGCGAGAGCGTGTGTAGTTTAATTATCTTGGATTTGACTTTTAATATATGAGGGTTCCTTAATTTTAAAATAATTATATTTTTTTCAAAAGAATTTTGCATGCTTACCAAAAGCATTATTCATTAGATGATGGTGAGACTTGCAATGTTTTAGGGTGCATAATGCTGCTTATAAAAGAGAAGCATAAAACTAAGTTAGGTTTAGCTGAGGTGAGAATGCTTAGGTGGATTTGTGGCTTGATATTTAGAGATAAAATATGAAACGAATGTATCCGTGAAAGGGTTGGTGCTCTATTGGCCAACAAGATTAGAGTCATCTTAGATGGTTTGGTCACATTAAATGTGGACCATATGATGACCTGACTAGAAGAGTAGATGTTTTAGATTCGACTTACTGTTGAGAAAGGTAAAGGTAGACCTTGAAAGACTTGAGCATGTATAAAAAATGATCTTAATTTATTATAATTAAATGAAAATTTGATACTCCATAGGACACAATGGAGAAAAAGAATCCATGTAGCCGACCCTACTTAATGGTATAAATGCTTGTTGTTGTTGTATCAAAATAAATATTATTTGAGTGAATGTTTAATCTTAATCAGCGCAACTTTCTCAGACTTTTGAAATTTGGTAGAGCACATATGAGTTTATAATTCTTATGATCATATGCACATTTTAAGTGTGAGCCATATAAACACAGTAAGACATTTAACGTACACAAGAATTGCAATTACATTTTCTTTAAATGCTCCTCCATATCTTAATGCAATGTATTAAACATAGGAATTTCTTAAAAAATAAATTTAAAAGTCATTAAAATTTCTACAAATCCTTCTTACATCTTATTAGAATGCATACACATAAATTTATAATATTTGCACAACCACAGTAAAAGATCGGAACACTTTTGCATGAATTTGTCAATTTTGATATCTTTAGCATATTAGTCTAGTCAACTTTTGTCCTAATAAGGAGAATGATCGTATTAGATGATTTAGACTTATATATTTTATTTATGTGATTTGGATATTATTAGAACTTGTTAGACTCATAAACTCCTGTTCTTAAGAGGAGGATCAGACTATGTAGGTGAAACTTGCAACTCTGTCCTCTAGATGGGGAGGCCCGATTGAGTGTTTGTATAGTATAATAATCTTGGATTTGAATTTTAATATATGAAGGTTTATAAATTTTAAAATAATCTTAAAATTTTCAAAAGAATCTTGTATGCATATTAGAAGAATAATTATGTGAGTAAACACATTCTTAACACGTGTAGCATTTCAGACTCTTGAAATTTACACTACTCAATTTGTTGGAGCACACGTGGGTTTATAATTATTAAGATTGTGCATACATTTCAAGTGTGAGACATATAATAGGTAAGACATTTAACATATCTAGTAATCGCAATTGCAAATTTAATAAAATGCTTGCCCATATCTTAATCCAATGCATCAAACTTAAGGATATGCCTTTAAAAACAAGATTAAAAGTCTTTAAATTTCTACAAATCCTTTTTACATCCTATTAGAATGCATACAATTAATTTAACAATATTCGCACAACTACTGGAAAAGACCGCACGAATCTCAAAATATTGCCTGCAGACTGAACATTGAATTTGAGCTCATAAAGTCATTTAAAAATTTGGAAGCTTGATGTGTTAACTTTATATAAAGACGTGCACATAAACACATTGAATTTTTCAAAAAGACGGCTCATTTTGTCTACTTGCGAGTTAGAATTGCAAATCTGGTGGTGGCTTTTTAAATTTCAAAAGCCCCATGTTTGAAATAATTTCATACCCTAAAAGCTTAATTTTGAAAGCCCAAAATTCCAAAATATTTTTTAAACCCTAAAAGCCTACATTTTAGAAGTTCAGATCCAAATTATTTTTAAGCCCCAAGAGCCTACATTTTACAAATCCATGTTCAAATTTTATTATAAATTCAAATGATCTGCATTTTAAATTATTTTATAAGTTCAAAAATTCTAAAACTTTAAGTTAATTTTCACGCCCAAATCACTTAGAATTTCGACAGCCTCTCAGCGTCAATCCCTATTATGGGGTACGAGAGAATGCCAACCTTCTAAACTGTCTTAAAAAATTGGCTATTTAGTGTCGTGAGACACTACAACCGGGGTGCAAAAATATGTATTCAACTCATGGTCTTAAAAAACATTATAGACTTTCAATATATTTGTAAAAAGGGTTAAACCAGAAGCAAGCATTTCTCCGTGTAGTATTTTACTTTCACGAAAGGGAAAGTGAGGCACGAAACTTCGAATGGAGATGAAGATGATTACTGGCATGGGTTTCTTACGATTCAAATAAGAAGAGCGGCTGAGTTTGCCAGACAGAGAAAGGGAAGCGTTGAAGAATGTTTTAGTGAAGGTTACAAATTGGAAGAAGAGAACAATGGGGAAGAAAAACGGATGCAAGAGTTTCCGTCGTCCTTTACTGAGATGCATTTGAGCAGGGCAGCTGTAAAACGACCGCGGGGGGCAGAGAAATACTCACTTTGTAACCGAGAAAAAGATGGGAAATAGTTATTAGAATTGTTGTCGGCTTTAAATGGTGGCAACATGAAACATATTTAAGTTAATTATTAATTTTAATTTCAATTATTATTATTATTACTCTATTTTATTTATTTATTTATTTCTTTTCACGGTCAAAACATCATTGGCTCCACAAGTTTCTCAATAGCAAGAATAGCTTGAAGTTCAAATTGGGCATTGTCCCAATGTTTGAAATGTTGGTTAGCAGCTACCAAGCAACTTCTTTGTTCATCCCTAAAGTCGACCCCAAATAGTTGGGATAAGATTAGAGATGTTGTTAAACCTTAAAAAAATTGATTTTGAGGGGTATGGCATCTCCTCTTTTGCTTAATAAAAGTCCATTAATAGCTGCGAAGTCTCATGCTAGATATGGTTTATTACTTTGCAAGATAAGGAAAATTACATCAAGTGATGTAGTATGTATTAGGGTATAAGGCTTATAGTACAAATCTAATCTGAGATGTACAAAATCATGTACTTCGCAACTCACAGACCATTAAATTTACAATTATTTGTTACTCGCAATTAAAAAAAAGTTTCAAAGAGTTCAATGCAAAGGACAATCTCATAATTCTATTCTAGAAGCAATGTGCAGTAAATTGGTGCAATGGAAAATCAAGCAAAATACTTTCTGGTGCTTCTTCAAAAAATAGAAGTGTTGAGGGGGGGAGATTTATATAAAAATGTTGGGAGAGAGGGGATTTTATTGTAGTGCTTTAGCATGCAGTCGTTTACATGTTAAATTATTTTTATTATACGGTAGCATACTTTGTTGTCGCTTTTATTTTTCATTTTTGGTCTTAAAATATTATTAATCGATGCAATTGATTTTTTAATCAATGACGTTTTTACTTTTCTTTACTTGTTAGTTCTCTTTCTATTTCTATTCCTTTTATGCTCTCTCTCTCTCTTTATCACACAGACACATGCATATAGAAGATTATGTTTAAGTCTTGATGAAAAACTAGATACAAACCCTTGAGCCGGCTAATCTTTGAAATACTTATTAGATTTGTATATTTTTTTTTGGCTATCATTTCAACCCAATGTCTAGTGTTTGTAATATGATTGTGTGGATATTTATGTTCAACTCGCTGATTTGAGTCTATTGTATCGTTTTTTTTTTAAATATAAATTCAAGCTATTTGTCGACCATTTTTTATTTTTAAATCTGGAATGCACTTGATGCAGGTATAGAGCAATGTTTAGATTGACTCAATTATGACCACTATTTTGAGTAATTTACATTGATAGGAGCTTCATGTGCTTTGCATGCTCTTTTTATTCCAAAAATTTAAAAGCACTTTGTCATTACCATCATAAATAATTATTTGCTTTCATCTAGCCCATATAACAAAATAGTAACTTCAAAAATTTTTGCAGGAACATCTTTTTATCGTGTGTGAGTTGCTTCGAGCAAATCTATATGAATTCCAAAAGTTTAATCAAGATTCAGGTGGGGATGTATATTTCACTTTACACAGGATACAGGTACTTTTTTCGAGTAGTTTGAAATGAATGTTATAGTATGGTTTAAGTCACAACTCAATTCCTGAAAATTCTATTTTGGAGATTGACTAGTCGTTCATCATATGTGCTGACATGCTTATAGATATATTTGTATTTCAATTTGTATTGCGTCGAAAAGTGAGTAAGAGAGGATACCTACAGGGGAATTGATCTAAATGAATGTTTTTAGATGATTGAATTATATTTGGTTATTGTATGATCCATTTAAGTAGGCGACAATAATTAGGAGAAATTGTTCATCTAAAAATGAATATAATAATAATAAATAACCACTAATTCAGGCATGCTAGGCTTGCACGATGACACATTACGTTCTCGTGAAAGTAAGACATCACTTTCCCTGGACCATTTGCTTGTGTTCTCTTAACGCATGTGTCATAGCTTCTTCCATTCACTTTTTGCCTTCTACCATCTATTTCCTTTGATCTCTCTTGCTTTTGATCTCCCCTCACATTCACGGTCTTTGTTCAACTCTCCCTACATTAACTTGGTGTGCTAAAAAAGGTTGGTTACATGATACATGCTGATTATTAAATTTGTTGAAATGCACACGATTTATGAAATCATTGGTCGGTCATTATGTTTGAGGGGAGTAATTATTTTCCTATAATTATCTCTTATTGTGTTTTATTTCGTTTCTTTTTGTCATGATGATTTGAATTTCCCTTTAATTGTAAGAGGGTTAGCCTGAGTTGTATATATATTTGTTTTTTGTTTAATGAGAAAATAGTGAGTTTTTTTTCCTCCTAAATTTATATATGGTATCAGAGCCCTAACTCGTTCCAATTTGAATTGGCGGCCTTATTCCTCACAATGACATTGCATGAGCCTTGTTTGTAGCGTACAACGAGCTTCATCGTTCGCAGACGCTTCATTCGTGCTCGTTGACTCTTTTGCACGAAGACGCAACTTCATCTCCTTAAAGCCTTTGTAAGGAGTTTCCACTCACTCCTTCCTATTTGCAGAAGCCTTTGCACTCCCTGACATCCTCCTTTGTAAGGAGTTTTATCCTCCTTCTGCTTCCATTCAAATTCTTTCTCTAGTGGAAATTCCAAATTTGTGAGATTATCATTCTCGTGTCGACGACATACAATTTCTCTATCTTGTGAAAATTTTGTGTGGATAAACAATTTCTCTCTAGTGAAAATCCTCAATGAAGCTCCTGTCGATGCCTTATCATGATGGCTAAATATGACATGGAAACCACTTCCTTCTCCTCAGAAACTGAATCTGAACCCAATATGTTGGTTTCCACAGCATCTGAAATCTATTCTTGTATCATCAATCACAAAATACATGACAACAATTTTTCCCGGTTCTTAATTGATCTTCATGTACATCCATGGTCAAGAAAAAAAATGATCTCACAAAAAAAATTCCTACACTATAAATTACTGATCTTAAACATTGGGCATGGAAGATTGAAGATCACATGTTCATGTCATGGCTTTTCAACTCCATGACCACAAAAATTGGAGAAAATTTTTTTCTGTACAAAATGACAAAAAAAAGAAATATCGTAAGGAAACCCGTTCAAATGTTGACAACACCACTGAGTTGTTTGATATTGAAACTAGATTACATCTCCTTAAAGCCTTTGTAAGGAGTTTCCACTCACTCCTTCCTATTTGCAGAAGCCTTTGCACTCCCTGACATCCTCCTTTGTAAGGAGTTTTATCCTCCTTCTGCTTCCATTCAGATTCTTTCTCTAGTGGAAATTCCAAATTTGTGAGATTATCATTCTCGTGTCGACGACATACAATTTCTCTATCTTGTGAAAATTTTGTGTGGATAAGCAATTTCTCTCTAGTGAAAATCCTCAATGAAGCTCCTGTCGATGCCTTATCATGATGACTAAATATGACATGGAAGCCACTTCCTTCTCCTCAGAAACTGAATCTGAACCCAATATGTTGGTTTCCACAGCATCTGAAATCTATTCTTGTATCATCAATCACAAAATACATGACAACAATTTTTCCCGGTTCTTAATTGATCTTCATGTACATCCATGGTCAAGAAAAAAAATGATCTCACAAAAAAAATTCCTACACTATAAATTACTGATCTTAAACATTGGGCATGGAAGATTGAAGATCACATGTTCATGTCATGGCTTTTCAACTCCATGACCACAAAAATTAGAGAAAATTTTCTTCTGTACAAAATGACAAAAAAAAAAGAGATATCGTAAAGAAACCCGTTCAAATGTTGACAACACCTCTGAGTTGTTTGATATTGAAACTAGATTACATGACTTGCTGCAGTGTGAGTTGAATGTTACTCAATATTTCAACACTTTCCAAATGTTGGCTCAAACTAGATATGTTTAAAACATACACATGGAGGTGCTCACAAGGTTGCTCTTTACAAAATCATTGTTGAACATAAAAAAATTTCAAGTTATTTTTATGAATCAATAAGGAACTAGATAAAGCTAGAGGAAGAATCATGGAAACTAAACCTCTTCACTCAATTCATGAAGCCTTTGTTGAATTATGAAGGGAAGAGAGAAGAAAGAAACTCTTGATGTAAGATAATTCCAATACATCAAATGTTGACAACTTGGCTTTGTATATTCAAAAATTATCAATTGGCAATAAATCAATAATGAACAAACCGTGGTGTGAACATTGCAAGAAGTTTGATCATCTGAAGGTGAAGTGTTGAAATTTTTATGAAAAACCTACAGATTGTAAGTCAAATAGAGTTAAAGGTTATAGGGAAAATCAAACGCGACATTAAAGGAAAACAAACTTCATGAACATAGTTCATTTTGTAAGGAATAAATTGAAGCTTTCCAAAGGCTTATGGGACAATATTTTGAGCCTTCTGCCAGCCTTCTAGAATATTAAGGTAGTCTTTTATAAACTCTTATTGCTTTCAATAAGAAGAATCGGCCTTGGATAGTAGACTGTAGAACATATGATCACATGACAGATGATATCAGTGCTTTGCAATCCTTCCATCCCTACAAGTATCATGCTGCAGTTAAAACCGTTGATGACTCTCTTTCATCTATGGAAGGAAGAGGAAATGTGGAAGTCAAAGAGGACCTTATTCTTCAATCAGTGCTTTATGTTCTTAATTTTAACTGCAATTTACTATCTATCAGTAAACTTGCTCGTGATATGAATTTTGTTACTAAATTTTTTCTTAATGTGTGAATTTTAGGTGATTGACAATGTTGACATGTATCATGGACTTTATTTACTCACTAGGACTCTCACTTCAAAAAGACTGCCTCGCCATTCACAATCCTTTGAATCGAGTCTCGTATCTTAAGTATATTTCTCATGAGAGTCAAGTTATGTTATGACATTTTTGCTTTAGGTATCCTAACTTCTATTACATTAAAAAATTGTATACTCATTTATTTATCAATTAAAAATATAGTTCTTATTATTGTGAAACTTGTCAACTTACTAACTATACTCGATAAGTGTACCCAAACTTGAAATACAAAACAACACATTCTTTCCCCATGGTTGATAGGGGTATTTGGGGCCCTTAAAAATAAAATACGAATGAGGTTACGTGGTTTGTTACATTCATTGATGATTACACCAGAATCACTTGGACTTTTCTCATGAAGGAAAAATCTAAAACTGTCAACGTATTTGAAATATGTCACAACATGGTTCTCACCTAATTTCTGAGCAAAATTCAAATTCTCAAAATTAATAATTCAAAGGGCTATTACAACTCCACTCTCATCCCATATCTATCCAATAAATCCCAACAAAATGGTGTGGTTGAGTGAAAGAATAGCTCATTTAATTCTACTCACTAGCAATGTATCTAAACACTGCTGACAGGATGCAATTTTCAGATCTACTTATCTCATGAGTAGGACGCCCAACAGAGCGCTAAATTTTAACAAATCTTTCAACGCCCTCATAAAATTCTACTTTTACATTCAGTCTTTCACCTCTAACCTACGACTAAAAATTTTTGGTTGCATTGCATTTGTTCATCTCAATCAACTATATCAGAACAAACTAGATCTGAGGTCAATCATATGCATCTTTGTCGTCTACTCTTCAAACAAAAAGGTGTAAAGAAACACAAAAATTTTACAACTTTATGGATGTCGTCTTCTTTGAAAACTAATCATATTATTGCAAATCTAATATTCAAGGGGATTGTAGGAGAGAATATCAGATTTAAGGTACCATTTAGGAACCTCAAGCTCAACTCTTTAGTATCCTTAACGAACTCACTCTTGTCCCCACTATCATAAATCAATTTGAAAATGAACATACTGCTCCACTAAATCCTCCCATATCTCACACCAAGAACCAATAACTCCTTTTGTACACCAAAAAGAAAAAGCCCAGTGAGCATGTAGAATGCAAATCGTCGAAACCAACTCCATAAACCTCAAGTATTCACACAAAGGTTGGGTCATGGCATCATGAACACCAAGAGGAAAGAGCCACCCGATAGAAGAATGTGTGACCTATGAAAAATTATCACCCTCTTACAAATCTTTTATTTATATCTTTTGGATAATTTGCGAGTCACAAATTCAATCCAAGGGATCTTATCTATTTTTTCTTGTAAAAAGGTCATGGAACAAAGATTCTTGCCCTTGAAAGAATGGTACTTAGATCATAACAATTCTATCTTTTTGGAAAAAACAGTTAGGTGAAAATGGGTATTCACTGTTAAATATGAAGCAAATGGGAGCATAGATATGTTCAAGGCTAGAATTGTGGCAAAAGGGTCCACATAGTCCCATGAGATCGACTATTAGGAGACATGCACTAATTACGAAACAACTCAGTGAGAGTATTACTGCCATTGGGTGTCAGCTGAGATTGACATTAACATTAGCTAAATATTAAAAATATATTTCTTAATAGGAATCTTGAGAAAGAAGTGTTTATAGAGATACATCCAGGATTAAAGAACAACACAAATAATCAGCTGACGTGCAAAGTAAATGTTCACAAAGACTATTCTTGCCAATAGGCACTATCAGTGTCAGTCTGATTACACTTTATGAAATCAAATCAAGAATGTGTGATAGTCATCCTTATTGTATCTGTAGATGATATTATTCATACAAATAATAACATAAAAGAACTTAAGCAATTAAAGGAATAATGACTTCTGAGTTTGAGATCAAAGTTATTTGAATTTTAAGATACTTCCTGGAAATAAAAATACCTAGATCCAAAGAAGGTGCTGTCATATCTCAGAAAAATTTTATCGTTGACTTATTAAAGAGGATAGAAAATTGGGATGCAAACCAACAAATGCTCTTATGACTTTCAATCAACGAATATCAAAAGTAGAGGATAACACCCGAGTTGAAAAAGGGAGGTATCAAAAACTTGTGGGAAAACTTATTTATTTGTCACATACAAGACTTGACATTGCTTTTTTTGTGGGAATAGTGAGCTAGCATATGAACGATCCAAATGAATATCATTTAGAAGCGGTCTTTTGAATCTTGAGGTATCTAAAGATGACTCTAGGATAAGGATTGATATTAAAAAAAAAATTAAAAATTGTGACATTGAGATCTACACTAATGCTAGTTGGCAGGAGAACTGACAAAAATCTACATGGGTTACTGTTTATCTATGTGCGATAAGCTGATTACTTGGTGAAGTAAAAAGTAAGCTGAGGTGGTAAGAAATAGTGCAGAATATGAGTATCGTGTCCTGACCCTAAGAATTTGTAAAGGGATGTGACTAAAGAAACTACCGGTGAAACTTCATATAGAGAACCGAAGCATTATTAAGATGTTATGTAATTGTCAATCAACTATCAGTATTTCAAAGAAGCAAACAAACCATATACAAACCATACATTTAATGATTGACTGCCACTTCATGTCTGAGAATGTCAATGTATGGGCTATTTAACTAAATTATATCCCAACGCAGTATTAGGATGCTGACATTCTTACTAATGCTTTTCTTCGACACCATTTTAGTGATATCAATAGTAAGTTTGGGATTTATGACATATACAACCCAACTTGAGGGAAAGTTCTAATGTGCATACGGTTTAAGAAACTGTGGGTGTGTTGTTACATTCGAGGGGAGAAACTATTCTCCCTTATTTTTTCATTATTTTGTGATATTTATTTTTCTTTTATCATGATGATTTGAATTTTTCTCTAAAAAGGGTTAGTCTGAGTTGTATAAATATTAATTATGTGTTTAATGAGAAATCATTTCCCCTAAATTTCTAGAAAATTCATTGTCATGCTTAAGACATTTAAATTTTATAAATGGATCGATGGTCAACTTTAAATCAACTCAATTTTGTTGTCATGTAAAACAGATATGCGCGTCAAATATATATTTGCTTTTAAGATTTGCAAATGCATAGATATGATCTCAATCATTTTTAAGGATCGAAACACCACTATGGATCTCACTAATATTTATAAATAAAGTATGAAAACTAATTATGTGTTGGTGCTTGATAATCACATAGCTTTTTCAAAATATCTGCCAACATATTAGTGCTTTCAAATGATCATAATTCTACATTGATGGTTCCAATCCTCTAAGTAGCCTAAATGATATTTTTCTTCAAAGTTATAGTGTTAACTCATTTGATATATTAATGCAAATGCATATTTCAAGGAATTAAATTGGAATGTGGGTCGCGAATGACTGCTGCGAAATGAGGATGCATTTAATAAATGCACCCACGCCGCGGAAGCCGAACATCGAACATGGCGTTTTTGTGCCGGCCACAGTAAATAAGCTGTCCCAAACATACCCTAATTTAATTGATATATTAATGCAAATGCATATTTCAAGGAATGAAATTGAAATGTGGGTCGCGAATGACTACTGCAAAATGAAATTGGAACGTGGCGTTTTTGTGTCGCGCCACAGTAAAGAAGCTGTCCCAAACATACCCCAAGTTAATTGACATATTAATGCAAATGCATATTTCAAAGAATGAAATTGGAATGTGGGTCGCGAATGACTGCTGCAAAACGAGGATGCATTTAATAATGCACCCACGCCGCGGAAGCCGAACATCGAACATGGCATTTTTGTGTCGCGCCACAGTAAATAAGCTGTCCCAAACATACCCTAAGTTAAGTGTTGCTGAGATGAGAATGCTTAGGTGGATAAGTTGCTTAACACTTGGAGAAAATTATGAAACGAATATATCCATGAAAGGTTGGTGTAGCTCATGTTGTAGATACGATTAGAGAGAGTCGTATTAGATGATTTGGTCACATTAAAGTCGATCATCTGATGATCTACTAAGGAAAGTAGATGTTGCAGATTTGACTTATGTTAGAAAGATAGTGGTAGACCTAAAAGACTAGGCATGTTGCATAAAAATTGATCTTAATTTATTAGAATTAAATGAAAATATGACACTCAATAGGACCCAATGGAGAAGAAGGATAAATGTAGCCAACCCCACTTAGGTGGATAAAATCTTGTTGTTGTATAAATTCACTAGCATATCCTAACCATGAACCTCTACATTTTTTATTCTTCTTCACTGGGCATACAAGGGTCGTAAATATGATCTGACGTTGGTTTTCCTTGAAGAGAGAACATAAGTGCTGTTTCTTTCATTTAGGTTTGAATTTATGACCGTTATAACTGTACCTTTATGTTCTTGGAAAACAAAACAGGTAAATGCTATAAAATTTGCAGAACATGACACTTGAAAAAATCTCTTTATTCTCAGGCCATAGCTCGACAGTGTCTAGAGGCTCTGGAGTTTCTGCATCATTTAGAAATAATCCATTGTGATCTAAAGCCGGAGAATATTCTCATTAAGAGCTACAGTAAATGTGAAGTCAAGGTTATTGATCTTGGAAGCAGTTGCTTCCTGACAGACCAGTTATGTATATATGTGCAGTCCCGATCTTATAGAGCTCCAGAAGTTATTCTTGGTCTGCCCTATGATGAAAAAATTGATCTATGGTCTCTTGGTTGCGTCTTAGCCGAGCTCTACACTGGTGATGTATGTATGCTTTCTCTCTTAAATCAATCATGCTAATTATATATATATATATATATATATTGTTGGAAGATTTACATATATAGCACTCAATAGCTGCCATGTTCCAACATAGACTTTTTTTAAACCTGTTAGAAGCAGGGGCCCTTACAGTTACTTAAAGAACAGGCCCCTCGGTAATTTGCATTTTCCCTCCTGGTCAGACTACACAGATCATTTTAATTGCCATGCTTTTATTCTTGTATACGGAAGCTTTAAATAACAATTTTTTTCTTTTATTTCAGGATTTGTCTTTAGTTAAATTCTTCCATAGCTCTTTTTAATCATTCTTACTTTTATTATGCCCATTATAGCTTAATTTATACTAGGATATTTTTGGGACATTTACATGAGAATTGTGTAGATGTATATAAATGCCCATTTTTTTGGAAAATTTACAAAAGTACCACACAATTCTTGTGGACTTACATATCTAATGTCTAAAGTTTGATCTTTACATTAACCATTTGGTGTTATAAACCCATGCATTAAAAGGTGCATTTAACATTACAAGTTAATCAGAGTGGTATTAAAAGATTTGAGTTCTATGAATGTAAATATCAAAGTTTAGGTGTTAGATATGTATACACATAATCACTTTTGATATAGTTTAGCATATGCCAGAAGCAACAACAAATTTGCTGGATGACCGCTGAAATTTTCACTCTTTAGGTGCTGTTTCTGAATGACTCGCTGGTGATGATGCTTGCTCGAATGGTAGGAATATTTGGTCCTTTCGACACAGACATGCTCAACAATGGTCAGGAAGCGCACAAGTATTTCACAGAAGACTATGATCTGTATTACAGAAATGAGGTTAGCTTCAACATATCATCAATTGCATTATTCATCTTTTCAATCTCATACTAATAAGTCAACTTCCATTTACTGGATTAAGAAAAAAAGGGAAATTTACATACATACCACAATTTTTATGTATTTGTATATCTAACACCCAATGATTAGTGTTTACATATATAACACACTGGTGTCATAAACCTATGTATGAAAAGATATTTTTCTCTTCTAAAGTACTTGTGGTGGTATTCTCTATGTGAAATAAAAGATTTGTGTGGTATAAATGTAAAAAGTTTAGGTGTTAGATACGTAGATACATAAGAATTAGGTGTTATGTATGTAAATGCCCCCCCCCCCCCCCCCCCCCCCCGCCACCACAAAAAAATAAAAAACAGTTTTATTTGTTTATTCATTTCTTTTGTTTGGCAGTAAAGCACAGCTAAAATTATGCATGGTTATAAACATAGTCTAAACTCTCACAGTTCGTATGTTTGTGCTCCTAACATTCATTTCATAATCTGCAAGTAATGCTTGAAGATTTACTGATGAAGGCTAATTGAACACTGTAACGATGAATATTTACTGAAATTTTATTGCATTCTGATCTTCATACCTAGCTTTCAAACAGATTCCATGCAAATGTATTAATTTTAATATTTATCTTGATCAAAATATAATCCTAAGTTATGCATTTATTTATGCTATTATAATGAAAATGCATTCGCTTCATTTCTTTGGTTTGAATCACCCAGGAAACAGATAAAATAGAGTATTTAATACCAGAGAAATCCTCACTGGCCTACCATTTGCAAATTAACGACGCAGCATTTCTTGATTTCCTTGGTCATCTTCTCCAGTTAAACCCTAAGCGCAGATTTACTGCAACCCAAGCCTTGAAACATCGATGGCTCTCTATCCCCTATAAGTGAAGTCTTCTTATACGCTTCATTAAATATCTTTTTTTTTTTTTTTTTCTGTTTTTTCTTAACCTTCGGAGAAGGTGAATATGCTGCTCCATGGAAGAAAAAATGGCACGTCCGGATGGCCAATTGTCGGGCGTCTCGTCTCTTAGTAAATAGGACGCGTATGTTGATGTGGCACCTGGAGGTTGGCCGTCAAGACGTGTGGTGTCCGGACGTAAAATTTTCTCAATCTCATGAGTATCATTTTGTTTCTGGTCTCAGGATTTTTTTATTTTTGGTTTTATTCGTAAATGAAAATAGTTGTGTAAATATTCTGTTAAAAGTGGAAAAATGTGTTGTTTAATATCTCCTTTTTCTTATGAAATATTCATAGATTTTCTTATTCAAAGAAGAATGTAATGCACCCTCTGCTCGAATGTTCTTTCTACTATTCTATGCCGCAATTGTTCACTATTTTTTATGAAAAAAATTCTTAACTACGTGCTTAATATTACAGTATAGAAAATTTAAAATACTAAAAACATTTTATTTGGGAAGATTTTCATACATACCACTCCTTTCTTATGTATTTACGTATCGAACACCCAAATTTTAATTTTACACAGATACCACCTGGTCTATGCATGAAATTGTGCATCATTTTTAAGGTAAAATGGTTATATTTTTAATGTGATGAAAGTTTGGGGTGGTATAATATAAAAAGTGAAATTTAGGTGTTAGATGTTTAAATACATGGGTATTGGGTGAAATACTAGTATGCAGGTAAATGCATTAATAGGCCTATGGACAATTTTGGCCGGAAATTCTTGCTGGAATTTTGATCCGAATGGATTCCATAATTGTCTTTGAGATGATTAAAATATAAGTTTTGCTTGATTAATTTATATTTCAATTATTTTAATCGTTAATCTAGAAGATCTGAATATTTAATTGTTAATCTAGAATATCTTAATTCACTTGGGACAGTGTCGCCGTAGATTCACCAAAAATTTTCCTGAATATCGAAGTAATGGTGACGCAAAGTTGATGCTCGTGATGAAACGAGTGAGTACTTAGCGGAAGAAAACGGTTGCGAAATTTTGGATAAAACTATGAATATATATTGATATTTGATTAAAACTAATTAATAAGAATGATGGTTATTATATTTTGTTAGTAATAGATGGGTAGATAGATAGATAGATAGATATGTAATTTGCATACATGCGTAATTCAAATGCATTTACATATTCGAATGTGACTAATATAACTTTCTCAAAAAATTATCAATCATTTTAAAAAATCATAAATCCGTATATTTATCTCTGATTTGATAATGTATGACCAAATTAAGGTGGCACGAATCTCTATATAATGGTATGAAACATGATAAATGAGGTGGGTTTGTAGCTAAGATATGTCAGAGCGATTGGGGGAGTCAAATCAGATCATTCAGATAATCAACACTCAAATCTGAAGGTTATCCCATAATACCAATGGGTTGCCTGATTATATGACGAGCTGACTGATCTCAAGGCCAAATAAAAAGGCATCCATAAAACCGATTCAGCGTATGATATCCATCGTGAAGGGAAAAGCAAACCAAAGAACTGCGATAGGAACACAAGGGAAGCCAGACAAAAAGACCACACACCGTCATCACGTGGTTCGTCTAGCTAAAAGAAGAATGAATGAGAGCAAACCAAGCAAGTGAGGGGTCACCGCATCTGTGAAAAATCCATTTGTATAATGCATCATGAAAATTATCTTAGTACCTCTTAGTTCTTTTACATGGGAAAAATGCATAAAGTTAATTGTATATATAGAATACCTCACATACTTACAAATAGGAATCCCTTTCATGAAGAAAAACTTTAGACATTGTATTATATTACTTAATCCATTTTTTACTTATCCTACGTGCTCTACTCTTTGGGTTGTGATTTCTGAACATTTTTGGGATCAATCGATAAAATCATTGGAATAAATATCAACTACATAAATTCAGCTGCTTGTAAATTACTATAGTTTGTCGCACTTGGCTAAAACCTGTGGTTAAAAACACAACATAAGCAATGTTCTGTTAGTCAAACTTCATAAAAAAATTAAAATTATTTTACTAATAATCTTAAAATCTAATAATCTTAATTTTTTTATATTTTTACGATAAATACTTTTTTTATGTCTGATCCAAATGATACAATTGGGAGTAACGAGTGAACTTCTTTTCTTCATTAGTGTGCCAATGAATTTTTTCATAGTTGTTTAATTGGACGATTCATTTGAAGAGCAAGATGGCATCCCTTTCTGAATGGCGTACGCAAAACTAGACTTCAATAATCCATTATTTCGCCTACTACATCCAGCCTTCCCGAAACCCTAACTATGTGAATGTCATTCTCAAACTCCTCTCTAATATTTTCATTTATTTTTTGTGTTACTGTTAGGGCTGTGAATTTTAGCTCCAAGATCATTAACCGCTTGAAAATTGATTCAACTTTTGGCTTGGATCAAGACCGAACCGAAACGAGACAAAATTTTGGATCAAGTTCTTTTCAACCGAAACGAGACAAAATTTTGGATCAAGTTCTTTTCCAGTAGATTTTGAGCTGACCCTAGCATGGCTCGAAATCGACTCGTTAACAATCCTAGTTCTGTTAGAATTGTGAATTTAGTGAATTTAGCTCAAATATCCTTAATCCCTCAAAAATTGATTTAACTTATGGCTCGGATCGAAATAAACAAGCCTAGCTATGAGCCAAAATTTTGGATTGAACTTTTTTCGAGTGAACTGTTGATCTCACTTTTTCTTAGGTCTAGTCTTTCTTCCTTAAAAAGCCTAGGATCTAGCCATAGGATATTCCTGTTGACTATTCTAGAGGACTAGTAATGGAACCTTACCCCTAGAAATTCTAAACACCTCTTTACTCTTCTTGGAGTTCCACATGTTGGTTCTAACATCTAGCACTTAGTAGGATGGAGCCAAGCATGGGGGAGCTCAAGAGGAGTTCTCATAGGATTGTCTAGCCTTAGGGTTAGCCCAGGGTGGTGTAGCTTTGGTCAGTCTTGTACAGATACAATTGAAAACCTCACCTTCACTCACAAATTAAACCCTTAACCAAATATGCTTAGCCTTATCCCCCTACTCTTTTGGAAACTCATATGGGTAGTCCCCCAAAACCTTAGCCCCTAGCTATGATGGCTAGAACCAACACATGTAGGATCCAAGATAGGGATTACTTTGGTCTCATGGCACCACAGGGGTAATTTTGTGGTTGGTCTCCTCATTAAACCCCAATGTTACAAAAATACCCAATTTTGGCCTTTTGCCCTTAAACTTCTCTAAAATTAGCAAATTTCCCCTGAAGCCCTAAATTTCAAAATTTTCCAAAACTATGAAATTCTCTTAAAAAATTATCCCAACTATTTCAAACCACTCAAATTGCCCAAAACACCCCAAAATTTTCAAAATCCAAAACACCCCAAAAATTGCCCAAAACACCCCAAAATTTTCAAAATTACCAAAATGCCCCTCATGGCCTAAAAATTCCCAAAGCTTCCCATATCATTCCAAACATCCCCAAAACCATTCCTGACCACCGATTGGGCCCAATTTGACCAAATTGACCAATTTTGACCAATATCCCAATCTTACCCCTAAATATCCAAAGTCTCAAATTCACACCCAATTTCCACCAAATTGATTTCAAACTTCTCCAATTTCAAAGCCAAATCAAATTTCATCATGTCGCAACCCAATTGAAAACAAATGCTAGCCCAATTGAACCCAATTTCAAGCCCAAATCTTAAGCCTAATCTAAATGCCCCAAATTGACCGTAAGCCAAAATTTTACCAAATTGCACTCCCTAGCCTATTCAAATCCACAAAATTCATATCCTAAGCTCTTCATAGGATTCCCCTAGACAAATTTGAGCCCTCAATTGGCCTAGAAATAAACTCAAGCCTAGCTCAAATTCAATTTAAACCAAAATCCCTAATTTTTCCCAAAAATCCAAATCTCACCAAATTGAACCCCATAGCCTCTCAATTTCCACTCAATTGACTTCTCAAGGCCTTGTTACAATCTCCTACACCAAATTGGCCAATCAATTGTGCCAAAGCCAAACTCTAGCCAAGCCTAAACCCAAACCCAAGTCAAGTCCAAGATTTTGAACCCAACTCCTAAACCCACTTTGAGCCATTTGGTCTAGCCCAACTTGGACCACCAAAGCTGTCATTTGGACTCTACGGACTAACTTAGATCCTCTTAGTCCACCCTAGAGCTACCATGAACCAAGAGCTGCCACCCCAACCCTTTCGGTCGGCCTAGTCACCAAAAAACCCAAAATTGAGAAGCCTCCCCCATGGACCAAACCTAAATTACACCCATCTAGTGTGTCAACCTCCCATTGGTCACTTGTGTCAAATTCCTCAATATTATAGTTTTGAGATAAAATATTGATCATTTCTAAAATATTGAGATAAAATTATATTTTCTAACCTCCCATTAGTCACTTCTAAATTTTATCTCAATATTGAAAAAAAATATAAAAATGAAAAATTTATTTCTCTGAGTTCTCTACACTTGGAGAGATTTAAGAAAAATATAAAATGTAAATTTTGAAATTAAATTATATTTTCTATTTAATTAATCACTAAAATCACTAAAATCACATAATTCCAGAACTTTTTTTAAATTATTTAAACATAATTCAAATGAAGTCTCGAATACAGAGAAATCATCCATAAATACTTCCATTCCATGTTCAATCAAATTAATAAATATTGACATCATACATCTTTGAAATGTCGCAGGTGCATTGCATAGTTCAAAAGGCATTCTACGAAAAGCAAATGTTTCATAAGGGCTTGTAAATGTTGTTTTCTCTTGATCCTCAGGAGCAATTATAATTTGATGATAACCAGTATATCCATCTAAAAAATAGTAATATTTATTCACAACCAATCTATCCAACATTTGATCTAGAAAGGGTAAAGGAAAGTGATCTTTCCTGGTGGTCAAGTTTAATTTTATATAGTCTATACAAATTCACCAACCATTAACTTGTCTTATTCTAATTAATTCATTTTTCTCATTTACTTCAACGGTCACTCCTCCTTTCTTTGGAACACAGTGAATTGGGCTTACCCAAGCACTGTTTGAAATAGGATATATAATTCCAGCATCTAACCATTTTAAGATTTCTTTTTTAACAACTTATTTCATTATTGGGTTTAATCTCCTCTGAGGATCATCTTTAGGTTAGTATTGATCATCTAATAGAATTCTGTGCATGCAAATCGAAGAACTAATTCCTTTAATATTTGCTAAAGTCTATCCAAAAGCTTTT